GGGGGGGGGGGTATAAATTGGTTTGAAAGGGGCTAAAGGGGTTTAAAAGGGGGGGTGCTTTAGTGCGATTCTGTTATTTTCTTTTTTATCTCCGATTCTGTGAAGAATTTTAATGTGACCCTCAGCCAAAAGTCGTTTGTATTTGCAATTCTACACAACATGTTTATTTTACGGATTTTTTTGAATTTTTGTTTGTTTTTTTTTTGGCGCTGGGGCTGCCTGGAACTCTGGCTGGGGGTCATGCCCGGCTGGGCACCCGGGCGTGTACCCGGGCATAAGTTGGGTTCCCGGGCGCCTGGAAAAACAGCCTAGCTAAAATCCTCTTTTTTTTTTTCTTTTTTACCTTTTGAAAAAACAGAACCTTAGGGCTCTGGCTCCTTTTCCATTCTGGGGAGCGCATCAGTCCGGTTCCTTTTCCACCGGCAAGTCGGAGAGAATTACAATGAGAATTACTCACCCACGCTCCTCCCCCTTAAGTTGGGTGCCCGTGTGCCAGGAAAAACAGCCTAGCTATAAAATCCTTTTTTGTTTTTTTTTTTGTTTTTGAAAAAACAGAACCTTGGCTCCTTTTCCATTATGGGGAGCGCATCAGTCCGGTTCCTTTTCCACCAGCAAGTCAGAGAGAATTACAATGAGAATTACTCACCCACGCTCCTCCCCCTTATGGTGGGAAGGTCCGACGGTCGGCATTGATTACTTCCCGAAGGAAGGATGTACCATCCCTCACCCCTGCCTAAGTTAGCCTGAGCATCTTTGCTTCGGAACTAGATTGCTTATTTGATTTCCTCACTGCATCGTTATTTCTAAGTTGTAACCTGTCTGTCTGTTTGGGGCCTAACCAGCCTGCTCTCTCTCAACCCCTTAATTGTCGAATTTTCCTTACTTGCCGGAACTGCTGTTTCGGCATTTTGCGGTGATCTTATCTAAAGCCTTTAACCCTATCAGATTGGTTGCCGTGATCTTTGCTGCGGTCATGAAGCCTATCCTATAATCCTACTATTATACAGCTTTATCTAAAGCCCTAAACCCTATCAGATTGGTTGCTGCGATGTTTGATTACAGCACTATAAAATCCTATTTGGACTCCGGAGTAGCTTTTGGAGTTCGCCAAAATTTTCTCCCGACATCACACAACATGAAAAACAAGAAAAAAACCAAAAAAAGCAAAACTTCAGGGAAATATGGCAGTTTTGACTGTTTCGGTGAAAAAAATTCGCCGAAAATGACACCACAGATTAACCATTAGTGGAGAGTTTGGTGGGCTGGCCACCCTGGTCAGCACCACAAGTCCAACAAAGGGCAGAGTTCCTTCCCACACAGTTTTTTTTCCCTTCGCGTCGTTTCCGAGATGAAAAAAATCTCATGCTTGCAATGGCCGGAGCATCATGTGGAAGTGCAATCTCAAGATTACGAGTAGCTACTAAGTTATAAATCATCCTGTTCTGATTGCATTGTCGTTCTATGCCTGTGATTCGTCCTGTTTCAGGGTATCCTGTGGTTTTAAGCCCCCCCCTCCTTTTTCCATGTCCATTCTATGCCTGTGTTTTTTCCTTCTTCAGGGTATTCTCCTGTTTTACAAGCTCCCTGTGACGAGCGTGGGAGTTCGTCCCTCAGCACCTGCAGGACATGGCGTCAGCAAGACCGATTTGGCCCCTGGAGTCCAGTATGAGTTGAACAGCCTTCCCGTGAGCATCATTATCATTGCAGAGAACATGTGTTCAAGACATGTGATGTCACCCTTCAGTAAAATATGTATAGAAACTGACTTTATTCGTGCTGCTTCTTGTTGTTTGAGATAATTTCAGATTTCTCCTCCTCTGTCCTTCGTGCACTGTGGTGAGAATGCCTTGTGCTGCCAGATTTCACTTCACAACCGCGATCATGACTCTGAGGGATGTCTGGCACATCCCTTGCTGAATAAATTTGCGCCTACCTTTTTTTTTATTTAAATAGGGCCTTAGATATTGGCTCTATTGTACGTATTGCAATGGCCATGACAGATTTCACTCTTGGAAGACTCAGACTGCTGTGAAATGTTGCAATTCCTCAGTTTTCTCCATACGTCACTTATTTGCAATTTTGTGAAGTTCTTATACTGTTATGATCCTGGCCAATTTCAAAGTACAAATTCATGAGAAAGCAGTTCAAAGCACCCAATTGCGAAAGAAATGAATGAACTTGAGAGGAGAGAGAGGGAAAGAAGAAGAAGAAGACGAAAGAAAGAAGAAGAAGAAGAAGAAGAAGAAGAAGAAGAAGAAGAAGAAGAAGAAGAAGAAGAAGAAGAAGAAGATGTACACCAGAAAAGACCAATGATAATTGCCTTTTTCTCGCCTACCACTCTCCTCCTCCTTTTCTCCTCCCCTCTTTATTTCACAATGAATAATAATAATAATGTAGAATGACTGAACCAGAATCAACGTCCGAATCCCTCTTCTACTACAGGCACCACATGAGGTCCACCATAGCCATGGCCATTCTTCTCCTTCCTCTTCATGTAGGCCAAGGCTATGGCGGACTACTACGGTAGGGCCTTGCCCTGCTGTGCAAAAGACAACTCAAAGCAGCTATGCCCGCTGCTGTTCAGGCCGCCATGCCTGACTCTGCCTTGAAGCCTTCTTGGTGCGGCACAACCCCAACTGGGGCCTTCCAGATGCAGCGCCTAACAAGGTGATAAAGATGGTGCCCACCATAGCCAGGTAGGTACCTCGCCACTCTTCTCCCCGGCCCCATTCTTCCTCCTCCTCCTACCGGTAGAGCTCCACCATAGCCAAGGTGGAAGCTCCTGGTCTCCTTCCTCCTAGTAGCGCTGTAATGCCCAGTGCTCCTCCTCCCACCATCACTCTTTAAGTCCAGCGCTTGCTCCAGCAGTACGTCGCCCAAACTTGCATACCGCAAATGAGGAAGGGCCCTTGGCTCTCCCTGGAGATATAGCAAGGCAGCAGCCTCCTTGGACGGTGACTTCCAGGTCGTGCGGCCTCCAAGCAACCGGTACCTCCTCCCTTTCAGAGGGAAACATCATTGCAGGATCTGATATTGTCCGCACAGGCCCTAGACTCAGGCTACTTGGACTGGTACCGGCGTAGACCTAGCCTACCAGCTACTGGGCCTCTAAAAATGCCAACTTTTGTCTTGTGCTCGCCCTCCATTCCCCGACACATTTTCCACTACTCAGGTGGTACCGGCCTACCTGCTACTTGGGTGTTTTTCCCTACTTCTGCTCTAAGTGCCGCGGGCCTACTCCCGCTACTTGAGTGTTTTCCCCGCTGCAACCTCAAAGTCACGGCCACAGGCAAGTACCAGCCCTGCAGGGCGTCCCAAGCAAGCCAGTGCCTTTGCGGGTCACACATACACTCAGGCCGACAAGCACTCAGACAAGCACGCAACACACACACAGACTTAGAAAACTCAGTAGAAAATGCGGGGATCTCAGCAAGGCATCCATTCCAGTGGCAAAACTCGGAAATCAGCAGTGTTCTCAGTCCGTGTTTTGGCAGGTCATTACAATACTCGGAATTTGCGAATATATGTGGTTACTAACTGTTATGCGGCCATGTTGGCCTCACAGAACTGGAATTGCTATGTTCCAAGTTCATTCATGATGCAGAACTCAAATTTGAGACAAAGATAAGAACACCAAGACATGGAAATGGAGAAGCAAGGGAAGTAGAGAAGAAGATGCAAAGACGGAGAAGCAAAGAGTATGCATAGAGTCACCCAGCAATCACTTCTCCCTCAACATCGGTCTCTCATTATTGGATTATATTTAAAGGAAATGAACAACGAAACAAGTGTCCGAGCAATCTCCCTAGCTTCTACTGCTGAGAACGAACCTCCTCCAACTCTTCTCGCACCCAAACTCCCTCCTTGATAGCACTACCATGTCCAGTCTGTCATCTACCTCTTCTAGCAGGACGTACTACGAGGACAGCACAATATAACTGCATCACTATCCTCATGGAGCTGTCTCGCCAATCTAATCGGTGGAGTCTCCCCTCATACCAGGCCCAGCGACAGAGGCCCCGGTTATGGTGCCAGGTGAATGCTCTCCCTCGCTTTGGCCTCCTCTCGTCTCCTCAGTGCCCTACCTAGCCCTCCACCTCTACCTGGGCTAGTGCCACTTCCCAGCAGCCTGGCGAGATCCGAGTGCGAATGCTCAAAATCATCATGACAAAATGTGTCCGCTCTTGCTCCAGCACACAAATAAATAGTGTTGGGCCTCAGTCCTACTTCCAGCGGGCCTGAGCCGTCCGGATCAAATCCGATCGACAGTCCAGGTAGGTGAACCGAAACTGTAGTCTGTGCCCAGGTACCCGGTCCACTCACCTACTCAGTCCAGGCACCTCGTTGCATCAGTTGTTACCTCTTGACCAGGACCCTGAAGCCTGCAGATGCAGACAAACCTGTTCTGTGTGCAAAAGGACACACAGGACAAAAGTAACTCCAGTCCTACCATGGGCAAAAACTGCATCTGGGCTCAACACGCACCTGAAGAGGCACACGTCCAAATGGACAAAGCTTGTGCCTGTTCGGACACAAGCTGAAAAGGCTCCAACTGCAAACACCAAAAAAAGACAAAACTGCCCACACACACACACACAAAAACACACAACAGGGGACAAGCGCCAATGGAAGACAGCCAGGGAACTCAGAGAGCAGAACTGAAGGGAAGCCATAGACTTCTGGAAAACCTGAATGACATAATACTTATATCTATTCCGGAGGACGGGACCAGGTTGATAGGACTCTCAATGGCACCTGGGCGACTGGGCCACATGGAGACGGGACGAGGAACCACTAGAGGCCTTCCGAATTTGGAGTCAGGAACCAAAAAGAAAGGAATGGATAAACGCAGATATGTATGCCATTGCCAGCCCGGGAAGTACCACAAGTCTCCTCGACCAGGCCACCAAGACGCCAATCACCATCCAACTACAGCAGCTACGTACGGTAAGAGAAGTGGAAACGGAGGACTTCACAATCTTCAGTCCCTCCACCCCACTGGAGCAACTGGAAGTCGAACCGGCAGAATGGGCCTGGAATTTAAGAGGGGGAAGACTGGGGATAGCCAGAAGAATTAACATCCTCCACTACACCACCCCACTTGGCTACCGTCTGCGAAGGCACTCGCACCCCCTGAAGGCAGCACTGTGTACACGCTGGGAAAACAGGATGGGAGTTCCACCGGAGCAGCTGGGTGCTACACCATGGACATCAATCAACAGTATATGGCTGGGAGGGGTTAGAAGCATGCAGTGGCTAATAGCCCACGCGGCACTACCGGTAAACACATGGCTGAATGAGCACAGGAGCAGAGCACAGAGGGACCCCTCGAACACCAAAAAAATGCATGGTATGCCAGGAAGATACCCTGGAGACTATGCTACACTGCTTGGTGATATGCCCGGAGGCAGGAGCTTATGGTGAATGGCCAAGACACTCTGGGGGGGGATGACATCAGTGGCCTTTCCGGAGAGCAATAACACCTGCTGCTAGGAACTTATCTTCGGCAATCGTTCGAAAACACCATCTTTCATCTCCTGAGACAGTACATACTATGGAGGATATGGAAGAGATGCTGCCAGATCACCATAGAAAAGAGACCAATGCACAGGCAGGAGCCAAGGGAGTCATACTATGGACTCCTCGAATCCGGCCTCCGGGCGCAATGGAAAAGGGTACAAAGACAAATCCGACAGCACCCGGAGCAGGCGCAAGAATTGAGGACATGATTTAACCAAAAAGAGTGTTGGGAGGGGAAAAGGTGGCAACCATACAGGGTACAAAGATCTCGTTCAAATGAGCGAGCTCCGGAAACCAGTTAGAATCGCAAGAGAAAAGAGGAGACAGAAGACGAGACAAGAGGAAAGGCGGAGCTAGTCATATAGAAGGATGTAAAAGAGGGGGTAGGAAAGTTGATTAAAGTATCGAATGAGGAAGTTGAAAAGAGAAGTAGAAGTTGGGGACGTAGTCAGAGTTTAGGGTTTAGGGTTCTAGGATAGCACTTATTTAGATAGCAAATCGGGAAATAGGAAGGATGGAAAGCAGAAGGGACACTAGAGAGGGGTTAGGGGGTAATGTAGGGAGGAGGGTTTGGCCCTACTGATTTTTTTTCACCATAAGTGAAACTGGCTAATGCTGCCAAGATAACTCCGGGTTGAATTGTGAGGTTCCCGGGCCCAATCCAGCGGCCTAGCTCAGTTGGTAAGGCACGCAAGTGGCATGGCATTCAGGAGGGGTCTTGGGTTCAATTCCCATTGGCCTCATGTACCTTGCTGGGCAAGCTTGGCGCCCGCCACCAAGAGATAAGCCGTTGGTCCCCCCGAGTGGGATTTAGCAGAGACTGCTGATGTTCATAAGGGGAGGGGACCGAAGGGGAGGCACAGCGACTGACCCATCGAAGAACCTTGGTCCTGATGCTATCAGCTGACCCCTGGCCGGTATAGCCCACCTGCTGTAGCAGGTATCGCACCTGCTGGTGGGTGCAGCTCCCACATGTTCCCTCGTTGGAGGCTTGAGCATGGATATGGCTGCTACGGGGTTCCCCGTAATACTATAATGACCATAAAAAAGGCCTGAAAGGCCGTCCCGTCCAGATTTGACAGGCAATTGAATTGGTTGGGCTTAAAAGAATTAGCCTTCAAAAAAAAAATAAAAAAAAATGCAGCTCAGTGGGCATACCAAAATGCCCCGGCACCAGAACCAGGTGCCCATATGGCTGCCCCCCAAACGATGCCCAGGCCCTACCCATTGCAGCGGGCCCCAACATCCCACACATCCTGACATTAACCCCCTGAAGTTTCTTATGGGCACTTCGATCAGCCCGCAACTAACTATTTGGCACACCTCGAAGGTCCTGACTGCACTTGTAGATCAAGGGGAACACAGGGAAAGACACCAGCAACACACGGTCAGTATCATAACGAAAAAATCTCTAACTTCAAGCAAACAAACAGTCTTGCAAAAGACAGTCCTGTGAGATCCCTCACGGGATTCTCTAGGACCAAGCAGCGCCCAGTTGCACGACCATACCATGTCGCCAGTTTTTCACCCCCTGCCCATGGGTGATGCTGTAGTGGCACCGCTCGCCTTTTTCCCGGCATGCACTAGCTGTCTGGTGCTGCACTGGTGGAAACACATGTGTGTGAGTGTGTGTGTTCGTTCAATGCTATCCCGTATATCTATGTCATGCTAAGAAAACTCTGCAGTTGCCTGCGATATGACTGTCCCGATCTGAGATCGCCACATACATCCAAATTTACATTTCTTGCTCATGGGGAAGTGTCCGGTTGTTTTCAATTAGATGCTGAAGCCTTTCAAAGACCTCAACCCATACATCGGCAACTATTCCTAGCAGAGAACATTTCATGCAATGGTTGACGATTCCTCCTGGCATGAATAGCATTCGATAATGCATGATCATATGTATGAGGGAAAGGTTCATGACATCATGCATATTCAGTCGACTCGCGCAGGGGTGTATAGTGGATACCGTTCGGAAACGTCGGATACCGCCTCGCAGTTACGATGTCAATTGTTTAGTCTATCACTTTTAAAGGTACTGAAGTGAAATTAGTAAATTAGTAAAGAAAAATACTGCAGAGGCGACATGGAGGAGGGATAAAAACGTTATTCCGTACTGTAGCTATCTGTTCCCATGCCAGTGTATTGCTGCTCTGTTAGAAATGGATCCTCCTGTTATGATCTTGGGTATCTCACAGTGCAAAAGCTCAACGAACTACAATAACGATGAATTACAACTGAACTGAAAGAGATTGAAAAGAGAAATAGACAAGAAGAAGAAGAAGAAGAAGAAGAAGAAGAAGAAGAAGAAGAAGAAGAAGAAGAAAGAAGAAAGAAGGAAGAAGAAGAAGAAGAAGAAGAAGAAGAAGAAGAAGAAGAAGAAGAAGAAGAAGAAAGAAGAAAGAAGAAGAAGAAAGAAGATAGAAGAAAAGAAGAAGAAGAAGAAGAACAGAAGAAGAAGAAGAAGAAGAAGAAGAAGAAGAAGAAGAAGAAGAGGAAGAAGAAGAAGAAGAAAGAAGAAGAAGGAAGAAGAAGAAGAAGGAAGAAGAAGAAGGAAGAAGAAGAAGAAGGAAGAAGAAGAAGGAAGAAGAAGAAGGAAGAAGGAAGAAGAAGAAGAAGAAGAAGAAGAAGAAGAAGA